AAGGACAAAAATAAATTAAGCCCTAAAACAGACTCTCAATATTATACAAATGGTCTGTTGTAGTCCCAGTCCAATTAAAAAATCAAAGCTGGCTTTGGAGTTGGAATGTGGCTCTCTCCTTCTCTAAAGCCAAGCATGCTTGTTAAATTAAAATCCAAAATGTCTGTCTCATGTTAAAAGAGCAACCTGATATGGGATAGAAGAAAAACCAAAATTAAGCGACTATCTTATTGTCATTACCTCATAATTCTTTGGTTTTATTTTGACTCTTTAATGGGTTTTCTTAAGATGTAAACATTATCTAAAATTTATAGGATTAATATATATATATATATTAAACTTTTGTCATGATATTAAGGGTCATATAGAATATTACATAACTCTGGAAAAAGGTTTCATCTACCTTCCTGTACATGATTTCAGGTTTGAGTCTCTATCAGTTTCCTGCAGTGAACCATGACCATGCCTACCAGCAACCTCTGAAGTCTCCAAAAGGAGGATGGGGCCCCACAATGACAATTCCAGAAGAACCATGATAACACTGCTAAGCTGAAAACCACCACCTAAAGATTGGTTTTGGGCTACAAACTGCTCAGAACTTTTTTGAGATGGCTAGCTGAGATGATCCAGCCTCACAGACTACTCTAGGCAGGACATGAGACACCCTGTACTTTCCCATTATGCAAAGACTGGACAACAAATGATACAGCTACCTCTCCCAGGACTTGACAGTTAGCCAGCCTTTTTTGGGGAGGGTTCCCTAAAGATGCCATCACCCCCAGACAGCAGGAAGTAAATATAAGAACACGGCACCCACATTCCCAAGAGGTGGAATGGGTGGTTTTTGGTCTTTCATGGGGCTATGGATATTTGTCATCGTTTAGGCGGATTGGTTACAAATCATTATTGGTAATGGTCAGGAAAAAATTGAACAAAGGAGATTAGATTTAGAGTTCTTGTTTTGAAAAGAAAAAAGAAGGATATAGATTTGATAGGATAAAAGGGTAGATTATTGAATCTGCTCTGAAAAGAAAAAAGGGAGGATATAGATATAAGATAAATGGTGGATTTCTGAATCTACTTTTAAAAAGCAACTACTAGTTTTTAATGTTTTACATTGGATTGGACTTTTGTATATTGTATACAAACTTTGTATATTGGAAGATGGCGCCGAAAGCGAAGAAGGAAGCTTCCGCCCCTCCCAAAGCTGAAGCTAAAGCGAAGGCCTTGAAAGCCAAGAAAGCAGTGCTGAAAGGCGTCCACAGCCACAAAAAGAAGAAGTTCTGCACATCTCCCACCTTTCGGCGGCCCAAGACCCTGCGGCTATGAGGGCAGCCTAAATACCCCTGGAAGAGCTCGCCCAGGAGGAACAAGCTTGACCACTATGCCATCATCAAATTCCCCTGACCACTGAGTCAGCCATGAAGAAGATAGAAGACAACAACACACTTGTGTTCATTGTGGACGTCAAGGCCAACAAGCACCAGATCAAACAGGCTGTGAAGAAACTCTATGACATTGATGTGGCCAAAGTCAACACCCTCATAAGGCCCAGAGGAGAGAAGAAGGCGTATGTTCGGTTGGCTCCTGATTATGATGCTCTGGATGTTGCCAACAAGATCGGAATCATCTAAACTGAGCCCAGCCGGCTAATTCTAAAATATACACTTTTTCACCATAAAAAAAATTTTGTATATTGATACAAATTTAAGATTAACTTTGTTAGAACATACTGCATATACATTTCTATTCTTGTTCAGGGTACTATAGCTCATTTAACATTGAACACAAATTCCTAGTCCTTGAAAGTTGTTATTGTCAACTGTTTAGGATAATAAGGAAATGCAGATTAGTAATGAATCACCTATTATAATTGAACTTGTAATCATATTAGGTATGTTTACAAGGTCAAACAGATATATTTTAAATAGACAGGTAATTTTTAAACACTTTAGAGAACTACAGAATATAGCATTTAAGATGTTTTAATAATACGTTCTTTTTTTTTTTTAAAGACAGTGAGACAAATCTGCTCCTGGTAGCACTTCAGAGAAAATGATGGGCATATAAAAAACCAAAACCAAACCAAAACAAACAAACCTCCACATGAAGTTTACATTATTTGTGGTGAAGTAGGCCACTGGGTAAGAAAGTACTCTGGCCTTTATTGCTAACTGTATGCTCTACATATTGGACAAGCAGGACACAAAAGAGTGTGACTGCCAAACTTTGTTAAGACAAGGCAGAACAGTCCTTCAAAAATCCTGCTTCATAGAAAAGTCTGTCAGATATGCTAGGCCTTTAGGGCAAAGATGGATTCCCCAACATTGTAGAGGAATTCTAGGTGACTGTCCAGGCAGGTAGCCAGCTGTTTCTGCCATTTCTCAATATTTTTTTTTTTTTTTGGAGCTGCTTGCTTGTACTTCCTGTTTACTTAGTTAACACTGTTTCCTTCTTGGGTCTCTGAGGGAGTTGAAGACTAGATAGTTATAGTTTTCCTTGTTTATCAAACACAGAATAGGAACTCACTAAAGAGGTGTAAAGTGTATAAGGTTGAGAGACATCAAAAATAGTTTTGGGTGACAATACAAGTTATGATAGAAAGTAAGTTAGGGACAAGACTTTTGACTTACCAAGATAGGAAAGATAATGGAGTTTTTTTCTCTGAATTTGTCAAATGCAAATGGACTAGACACTACTGATGTATTTACTGCCTGTATATATTATAGTTATTGTACTTATTGTATATAGTTTTTCTTATATTAGTTATAGCCTTCTTTTTTATTTTAGACAAAAAGGGGAAATGTAGTGATATTTTGTTTGTAATCTAACAAATAAAGCTTGCCTGAAGATCAGAGTGAAGAGCTAAGCTACTAGTTGGTCATAGAGTCCAGGCAGTGGTGGCGCACACCTTTAATACCAGCATTTGGGAATCAGAGGCAGACAGATTTCTGTGAATTCAGTGTGACCCTGGACTATACAAAATTGATCCAGTCTAGGAGAGAAAGAGACTCAGGTGGGTGGAGACTCACACCTTTAATCCCACACCAGCCAGCGAGGTGGAGACTGGAGTGATATGGCTGGGTGAAGAGAGAAATAGAAGGTGGAAGGAGACAGAAGCTCACTGCAGTCTGGGGATGCAGTCCATCTGAGGATTTGTAGAGGCAGAAGGTCTCTCTAGTGCCTGGCTGTACTACTTCTCTGATCTCTCAGTTTTCACCCCCTAATATTTGACTCCAGGCTTTTATTATTAAGAACAATTAGAATTCATGCTACAGGATCCCTTAGTACTGAAGCTAAAGATGGTTGTGAGCTGCCATGCAGATGCTGGGAACCAAATCTGGACCTTCCGAAGGAGCAGCAGGTGCTCTTAACTGCTGAGCCTTTGCTCCAGCCTTTTATTTTTTTTAAATCTCCCTCTCCCTATTCTACCTTCTACTGAAGTGTATCTCTTGAGAGAAGGCTGTTTCAGAGTTATCCTTGCTGTTTCAAGAAACAAATTATACTATTCAATATAATTTAGCTGTGTTTGTTAAAAATCACACTAAACAGGGCTGCTTTAACATCTCCCTTTCTGTGCTTTCACCTAAAAGTATTTCAGTGCCTGTTATGTGGGAAGCACTCTTTCAGGCAACATGTCATAGAGGAAAGTCAAAGTATAAGCTGGGTGTGGTTATGCACACAGGCAGTCCCAGAACTTGGGAGGCTGCAGCAGAAGAACAAGAGAACAAGTGGCCAAACCATCTTGGACTATATAGTAAGACGCTATCTCAAGGGGATGGAGAGATGGCTCAGAGTTTAATAACACTAGCTGCTCTTCCAGAGGTCCTGAGTTCAACTCCCAGCAACCACATGTGGCTCACAACTACCGATAATGAGATCTGGTGCCCTCTTCAGGTGTGCAAGCAAACATGTAGGCTGAACACTGTATACATAATAAATAAGTCTTTTTTTTAAAAAAAGATGGCACCTCAAAAAACCAATAGGGGATGTGGAGACGACTCAGCCAGTAAAGTGCTTGCTCTGAGGACATGAAGACCCAAGTTTGGATCTGTAACACACAAAAAAGTTGGGCAGGGCTTTAAAATCCCAGCGCCAGGGAAGGAGAGACAAGAGGATCCCTGGGGCTTGTGGCCAATCAGTGACCTCTAGGTTTAGCTGAGAGACTCCAATCTGAAAAAACAAGGTGGAGAACTAAAGAAACGGTTCTGTGGTTAAGAGCACTGGGTGTTCTTCTAGAGAACCTGAGTTCAGTTCATAGAACCCAACGTGGCAGCTGACAACCATCTACACAGTTCCACAGGATCTGACACTCTCTTCTGGCTTCTGTGGACACTGCACACATGGTACATAAGCATAAGCAGGCCAAATACCCATATATATAAAGCTTTAAAAATAGTAAGATGGAGAACTGACTGAGAAAGATATCTGGTCAGCCTCTGCCTCCATATTCATAGGCACACCCAAGTACATTCACTCTTCTCCACATGTGTAGCCATAAATATGCACACACACACGAAAAGAAATACAGCTAGACCCTGTCTCAAAACAAAAACAGTAACAACAACAAAAAGACAAAGCCCTTTCCTTTTCCTCCCCCTTCTTTCTCTTCTCCTCATCTCTTCCTCCTATTCTTCCTATTTCTTCTTCTTGAGAGTGTTTCATGTAATCTGAGATGACTTCAAATTCTCTATGTAGATGAGGAGAACCTTGAATTCCTGGTCCTCCTGCCTCCACCAGCTACATGCTGGGATTTCAGGTATGCATCACCTCTTGGCCAAAAGGACAACGTCTTATTTGAGTAGAACTTATAGTCAAGATTATGAAACATTCTCAATGTTGGAATTTTATTACTAAATGGATTTCAAAGGTAAATAATTTACAGTGAACAATATTATGTGTAATTTTTATCTCACACATTTAATTTTTAATATGGGATTAAAAAAAGTTTAGAGCTTAGTATTTTTAGGCCCAAAATAATCAGATTGGTCAGAACTCACCGTGTCTTATTGACATAAGTTGACAGTAGCCTATACCACCAAAAAGATTTCCTTCTGCAAATTGTTCCACAATACAGAGACATTGTTGGGCTCCTAGAAAAAAAATGGAGGTTTGTTTGTTTTGTTTTTAGGGTCATAGTATGCATTTAAAGTACTAAATCAATAAGATTATAGTTTAAGCTAGGCCAGAACCACTTTGCAGTATCAGGAAAAAACAAACAACAACAACAACAACAAAAACCAAGACTCATATGGACAGGCTTTGACACTACTTTTGTTTTGTTTATCTGTCTATTGCTTGTTTGATGGGGAACCTCCTTCAGCCAATGGCTTTGAGAGGCTGGGCCAGGTTGGGTGTGACTTTGGGTACCAAAAGCCCATGGGAGCACCTGCTCGGCCTCTTCCCACTCGCCACACCTGGATGTTGGACCCTGTTCTTGTTTCCCTGTTGTAATCCATGAATTTCCCTTTTAATAAAGAAAAACCTTAGTATATTCTATTCTGAGCTAGCGTGGGATTCCTTTATTCACGTTCCCTCCCATCTGACACGTTCTGCTTCATCTGGATACCCAATGTGGGGCTGAGTTCATGATTACTGGGATCCCACCCACCACCATGCTCCTACTTTGCCATCCGGGTATGTTTCTCGCCTGCCCATGGCTCACCTGCTGCTGCTTAGGAACTTGATTTTCTCCACCATAGCCCAATGTTAAAGGGACTCGCGATTGAGGGGAAGCTTTGGGTATCCTTCTTATTCCAGCCACCAACTCTCTCCGTGTATGGAATCACTTTAATTGTCCTTAATAAGTGCTTTCATTTTGTTAAACAAGGCATATTTATCAGTGTCTAAGCAGGCAACAGTGCGTGCGGAACCAGTGCAGGATGCTGTGCAAAGAAACTGGCAGGAGCCTGGGCTGCTTATATCTCTCCTCCATTGCCCTCTGCCATGTGCTACAACTGTGACACCTGCTGGCCAATAAAGATTATTACACCTACTCCAATTCACTGTAATTGCCTAGGGCAGGCAAGTAAATTGAAATTTGAAAGTTAGATGATGACAGACTATTGTGATGAGGCGAGGGAGCCGCGTCCCGCCGTCCGGCTAGCTTTACCCAAAAATAATTAGACAGAAACTGTATTCATTTAAACACTGCCTGACCCATTAGTTCTAGCCTCATACTGGCTAACTCTCACATCTTGATAACCCATTTCCATTAAATCTGTGTAGCACCATGAGGCTGTGGCTTACCAGGAAAGATCTTAACCTATGTCTGTCTTGGGCTGGAGATTCATGGCATCTGCCTGACTCTGCTTTCTTTCTCCCAGCATTCTGTTCTGTCTACTCCACCCACCTAAGGGCTGGCCTATCAAAAGGCCAAGGCAGTTTCCTTATTAACCAATGAAAATAACACATAGATAGATGACCCTTCTACACCAACTGACTATATCACCATTCATGAATTTAATAACTATTTTGCTTAAGCTATGGATGGTATGATGTGATGGACTTATGTGATTTTCCTTATACATCCATTTATTTGACTTTGGGAATTAGCTTTAATTTTCATATTATATCTTTAAGAAAATGGTTTGATAACAGAGCCAAGAATGAGACACTTTTAGAAATGATACAGATTTACAGACTCATAATGAACAGCTAGCTGAAAAAATTAACACTTATTGAAAAGGAAAACATTAATTTGACAGACAAAATTCAATCCAGTTTGAAGGGTGCTGAGCAATTATCTGAAAGAATTCATACTGCTAAATTTAACAATCAGAATCTGTTGAAAAGTTATGATAGGTTAACGGACAAGGTATTTCTGTAGGAAGGCAATATGCATGCTATCCAAATAATGTCCAAGGATGAGACATTGTCTTTACTGGACAAATTTCATACCTTGGAATCATGTGTGAAGAATAACAACCAGAAGCTAAATGAAACAGTGAGGGCACTAGAACAGAACACAGGACTGGAGATTCAGATTTTACAAAAGGCAGTGGTAAAACGATTAGCAAAGATTATTAGAACTGATGAGCAAGGAGAGAAGGTATAAGAACAGGATTTAGCCTCACCAGTATGAATAAAAGTAAAGAATGATTTACCCAGAGTTTTAACTGTTTATCCAGCAATCTCCTCTGAGAAGCCAACAGGTACAAAATACCCTCAGGTAGTCAAAGAATATAAATGGAAACTTAGAGGTATGAGTGAGCTAAAGGAAATTAAGCAAGCAACAGTATCTTATGGCTTGCACTCATCAGTTGTTAGGGAAACAGTAAAAATGTGGGCTTCAAGCAATAAGGCTACCCCACACAATTGACTTCAATTAGTCTCAGTGGTCCTAGAAGATGGACCCCAGCTGCTATGGAAATGCTATTGGCAAGAAGAGGCAACAATTTTTAGAACAATAGGGAAAAACAAAAGGATTTGAGGCCTCCCAAGATCAAATTCTTAGGACCAGGCTCTCTACGATGAACACACCTTGCCCTATGCAGCACAGCAGCTTTAAATGCTTGGGACAGGATTCAGGAACAGGAAAGGAACTGAATCATATACCAGGGTTAAACAGGGCCAGAGAGAACCCTTTAGTGACTTTTTTACAAAGATTAACTAAGGCTGTACAAATATGAGTAACAGGCCCAGAAGCTAGATGAGTACTTATTGAACAGTTTTTGAAAATTCCAACTTAGAATGCAAAAAGATACTTGGGCCTTTAAAGGATAGATCATCACCAATAGATGAATGGATCTTGTATACAATGAATGTTTACACATTTGACTATAGTACTAAGGCTTGGGTAGGAGAAGCAATTTCCAGTGGTATGAGGAGACATCAAAATGCCAAATGTTTTAATTGTGGTAGAATAGGATATCTGAGAAAGGACTGTAGGAAGTCCTAGGAATAATGCCTCCTTTGGGAATGGCAAAAATAGGTGGTCTCAACCTATATGTAGGAGATGTGGCAAAGGCTGACTTGAATCAATGAAGGTAGATCAACAAAAGACAGACAAGGCAACCCAATACCATCGGGAAACTGCTTGGGAGGCCTCTCACAGGCCCCCAAGTCAAAAGTGAACCAGTCATTTCCCGTCACTGTGGAGGACATGTCTCACCAGGAAAATCAAAAAATCCAGTGCCTGCTGTAAAAAAAAAATACTGTGCAGGATGATGGAATAAACATGGAGGATGAATCAAAAATTCCAATAGGAAATAGGAAACGTATATTCTGGCAGATCAAAGACCAAAGTTAAGAGTGCATATAAATGGCATTGTAACTGATGGATTACTGGACACAGGTGCGGCTATGTCTGTCATTACTCCAGAATCTTGGCATCAAAATTGGCTTCTTCAAGAGGCAGATGTTCATTTCCTAGGAATTGGAATCCTATCTCAAGTGAAACAAAGCATGAGATGGGTTGAATGCATAGGGCCAGAAGGACAAAAAGGAAGGGTGAGGACTAATATCGCAGTTAATTTATGGGGTTGAGACCTGCTGCAGCAATGGACTACCCAGATTAACATTTCTGAGTCCCAGAAACAAGGATATTATAAGGTAGTATACACAAAGGTCACCAGCCATTCAGGCTGTACAAGAACACAAAATACCCAGCAAAATTCTTCAAAGACGGTGAAAGAATGGTACTCAACTTCAAATAGAAAAGCAAAAACCCAGGATAGCCAAAACTATCTTGTACAATAAAAGAACTTCTGGCCAGGCGATGGTGGCGCACACCTTTAATCCCAGCACTCAGGAGGCAGAGGCAGGTGGATCTCTGTGAGTTCTAGGCCAGCCTGGTCTACAAGAGCTAGTTCCAGGAGAGGAACCAAAAGCTATGGAGAAACCCTGTCTCGAAAAATCCAAAAAAAAAAAAAAAAAGAACTTCTGGAGGCATTACAATGCCTGACTTCATACTCTACTACAGGGCTACCGTACTGAAAACAGCCTGGTATTGGCATAAGAACAGGCAGGAGGAACAATGGAACTGAATAGAAGACACGGATATCAATCTAAACATCTTCAAAACCTGATTTTTGACAAAGAAGCAAAAAATATAAAATGGAAAAAAAGCATATTTAACAAGTGGTGCTGGCATAACTGGATATCAACATGTAGAAGAATGAAAATAGACCCGTATCTATCACCATGCACAAAACTCAAGTCCAAATGGATCAAAGCCACACTGAACCTTATAGAAGAGAAAGTGGGAAGTACACTTGAACACACTGGCACAGGGAACCACTTCCTAAATAGAACCCCAGCAGCACAGACACTGAGAGAAAAAATTAATAAATGGTACCTCCTGAAACTGAAAAGCTTCTGTAAAGCAAAGGACATGGTCAACAAGAAAAAAAAAATGACAGCCTACAGAATGGGAAAAGATCTTCACTAACCCCACATCAAGACAGAGATCTGATCTCCAAAAGATACAAAGAACTCAAGAAATTGGTCACCAAAAGAAGACATACTCCAATTAAAAAAATGGATTACAGACTGAAACAGAGAACTCTCAATGGAGGAATCTAAAATGGCTGAAAGATACGTAAGGAAATGTTAAACATTCTTAGTCATCAGAGAAGTGCAAATCAAAACAACTCTGAAATTCCATCTTACACCTGAAAGAATGGCCAAGATCAAAAACACTGATGACAACTTATGCTGGAGAGGTTGTGGGGAAAAGGGAACACTTCTGCATCACTGGTGGGAATGAAAGTTGAACATTTCTGCATCGCTGGTGGGAATGCAAGCTGGCACAACCTCTTTGGATGTCAGTGTGGTGATTTCTCAGAAAATTAGGAAACAACCTTCCTCAAGACCCAGTAATACCATTTTTTAAGGATGCTCAATTGTGCCACAAGGACATGTGCTCAACTATGTTCATAGCAGCTTTGTTTGTCATAGCCAGAACCTGGAAACAACCTAAATGCCCCTTGACCGAAGACCGGATAAGGAAAATGTGGTACATTTACACAACGGAGTACTACACAGCAGAAAAAAATAACAACATCTTGAATTTTGCAGGAAAATGGATGGAGCTAGAAAACATTATTTTGAGTGAGGTAACCCAGACACAGAAAGACAATTATCACATTTA